GTGCAGGGCTATTCTTACCCCTGGATAACTTGGAACCATCGTGACTTCTCCTTCAGCCTACATCGAATATCGATTCACAAACAAGGTTCAAAATTCGCAACTTCACTGTATTAGAAGGCGGACTTTACACCTGTTACGCCAAGAATCCATTTGGACATGATACCCTCACCTGTAACGTTTATGTTTAAGGTATTGACTTTATTTGTAGTTAGGCTAGCTTCGTGAGAGTAGATGTAGCTTGTCAATAAAGAGAAACGCAAAGAAAGTTTGCTCTTTTTGGTCTGTTAATTTCTTTTACTGTTCTTCGTATTGTTGTTCTTGTTTTTTATTGTTATTATTTCTCTTATTTTCTTCTGTTTTGTTTTGATTTTATTTATTTATTTATTTTTTATTTCAACCAATTGCTATTTTAGAGAAAAGCTACGCACTTACTCAGACGCTGCCATTTTTTTTCCACTGTATCCAAGTCAGCCGGTGACGACGACCGCAGCATCAGGTGAAATGACAGTGACTCAAATCAGAGAAAAGAATTATTTAGAGGGCTTCAAAATTTGATAGAGAGTGGAATAATTTCAAAGTTTAATCACCCATGTGGATTCTTATTAATAGCTTACTGAAAGTAACTCCCTTTTTTGCGGTTTGATCTGAATGAACTTAACAGTTATGATGTTAAAATAAAAATTGAAAAACAAAGTGCATTACCCTTTGTTTGATAGGTGCTGAGGTTACAGTACAAATTAACCAGACAATCCTGCTAGCTTGCTCTGCATCAAGTAATTCAGAAAATGTGGAACATATCGGTTGGTACCGCTGCCGTACTGCTGATTGCGAATCCAAATGGGACAACTCCCGGATAGCTCGTGTTGAACGAATGAGAGAGCCATTTGTTGATAACACTGACTTTGACATTTACGTAAATGGAACATTAGTTATCAAGAGGGTAAAAGCTGTGGATGATGGAAAACTTTTTATCTGTAAAGCCAAAAGAAACCTGACAGGGGTGGAAACGTCCACCACGATCCTCAAAATAGCCAAAGGTGATGTTTATATGAGTGTTATACAATGATGATAATAGTAATAATAGTAATAGTATTCATGATAAAAGTGTTCGGAATTTAGCAGTGGACAATCCACGTGGTGACTTTTGTTGTCCACAGTTTCCAGGTCGAAATGAAATTTGGGATATTGTTTTTTTGAGGGGGAGGGATAATTGGAGAATGCGGAGAAAAATATATGGAGCAAGGATGAGAAGCAACCCACACGTGACGCCAGTGGTCCATTTATTAAGGGTACCTGTTATTTAACATGCCCTTAAAATGTTCTGTTTTCATTTACGTTTCTTTTAGTGTTCTTCGTGTTGTTTTTCACTCTTTTTTTTTTTTTGCTTCTATGTTTTTCTCTTATTTTCTTCTGTTTTGGTTTTGGTTTTGTTTCGTTTTGTTTGTTTGTTTGTTTGTTTTTTTCGTTTTTTTTTTTTTTCATTTTCTTACCTAAACCTACTACTATTTTAGAGAAAAGCTACACACTTACTCAGACGCTTCCAAAATGTTTTCCCTCTGTATCTAGGTAAGCCAGTGACAACGACCACAGCATCAGGTAGGTTCTCCCACTCTTTAACCTTTTCAGATGACCCAAAAGGACTGAACAGGGTTCTGAGAACCCCTCAAGTTCCATGTTTGTAAACTAGCAACCAGTCTGAGATATATATTTTTTATCTCCTTCAAAAGGGATTGGTCTTCACTTATTTTCTTTAAAACAATCAATTGCTAAATGTGGCCAAGTTCAAAGAACATTGAAGGCGAAGGCAACAATGGTCTTGCTCCTGCGCAAGAATATAGATCTTGTTTGATTTTTGCATCTAAAAACAAAGAATCTTAGAGCAGCATTGAGTATTCTTCCAGTGGATGTGAGAATACATGCACTTATTTTTTGCTTTAAATAATATCAAAGCATAAGCTTTCAGCAAGTGCTACATCAGGTATTTGCCGTGTCATCTAAAAAGGAGGAAATAGTCAGAGGCAAGAGTCTGCCTGTGCCCAATTTCAAGCAATGTTTGCTATACAAAAGTCAAAATTGCCTTTGACTGAATATCAGATACATTGAAAGTATAAAATGAGCCAAGTAACCCAATGAGAGCATCA